AAAGCAGGACACGAACCGAGACCTTTCATCGTCCAACGATCGATCTAACCAATTGAGCTATCCAGGCCAGCAATGAATTCTTCCCCGCTAATTGCCAGTCTAACGATCGAACCGGCCACGGCCTATATCTGTAAATTATTTAAACACCGAACTGAAGGACTATTAACCCCTCGCGAGTCTAAGTCGAGCTGAACTCTTTTGGACGAATCGCTGAATCTCCATCCTTGTGCACCAAACGTCTGCTGTCGAATTGAAGTGTCGTTTACTATACTTTCATCCATCGTTCCAGCATACTTTGCATACTATTACTATTGTATTATATATACTAGATACAATTCAAATAATTTTTAATCACGGTAATGTATAATCCACGAAACCATTGGAAGTATATGAATTAGGAAGAATGGAACGCTAAAAACACCAATTGAATGCTTTCATATTGAAATTTTAGAAAATTTAAAAGGTAATAATTTAAAAGATATATGAAATCATTATATCTAAATAGAGCTTTGTCCAAAACTTCCAATTTTTACGTGACACGAAGCATGTGAGATATGGAAATTATTCGTCAAAAGGCGAAAATTGAGTGCTTCAATAGGGAAATGTCAGAAAATTTAAAGGATAAAGTTAATCACTTTGACTTCGAAATTTTAGATCATTAATATGTCTAAATAGAACTATGTCCAAAATTTCCAATTTTTACGTTACACGAAGCATGTGAGATGTAGAAATTATTCGTCAAAATGCGAAAATTGAGTGCTTCAATAGGGAAATGTCGGAAAATTTAAAGGATAAAGTTAATCACTTTGACTTCGGAATTTTAGATCATTAATGTATCTAAATAGAACTTTGTCCAAAATTTCCGACTTTTATATGACACGAAGCATGCGAGATATAGGAATTAATCGTCAAAAGGCGAAAATTGTATTGCATGGTGAAGTGCTTTGGAAAGCTGCTCGTCGAGTACGAATCAATTGGGGTAACGCATCGAGTGCGACTTGGACCGTAAAGGGTTAACAACGTTCACTCTGTAACTCGTTTAATCTCACGAGGGAATCACGTGGCTCGTCTCAGAGCGAGGAAACACGTGGAAACACGCGGAAAATCGCGCGGCAATTAGAGGGGAAGAGTTTCTCGGAAATAAAACGGGGGGGCTGGTGAAATGTGCATGTCATACGTTCTCGAGTAATCTGGAGTGGAGGAAATAATCCGAAGAAGCTTGTTTTACATAACATATACAGGCCGTATACTCTTGTCCATAAATCTCTGGACACTTGACGAGAAATATTGAAGAAATATCGAAGAAATATTGAAGAAATATTGTACAAGAAGCGACACTTAATCCTCCTAATGCCAAAAAGTACCAAGTCAAATTGATACATCTGCGGATCGTAGAATATATTCAAACTAGTCTACTAATTGAATGATAGTACTTACAAATTCATTTCATTTCGTGATTCGACGTGAAATTTCATACAAAAATAGATAATAAAATTTCGACGTATAAATATAAATATAAAAATATATACATATAATATAAATAAATATATAAAATATATAAAATTTTATAAAATTACATAAAATTTGAATACATATGAGAAAGCTTATTGCAATATGATGTACTATAGTTAAAACTCAAAAATGAGATCACATTAGCATATGGAATCAGTGAATATTTTATTTTCTTTTTATTTTGGATGAACACCACATGTCACATATGAGATGCAATAGCCTAATCTATAAGTAGAGACAGATGATCTCTTAATGATCTCTTAATGATCTCTTAAAGATGATCGATTAATTTCCATAGGAAACATTCTTTCACCAGACTAATGGAAGATAACAGAAAATAAATTCCAATTTTATTAATTCTATTTTACAAGAAATTCCAATTTGATTAATAACACTTTAACGCGCTCTATAAATTCACCCCCTAATTCGAGCTGACCCTCCGCATCGATAAGAGAACTGTACCCCGTCCTCGCGTAAACTATTTTGCAAAACTGACGAACGTTAGGGCGAGTTGGAGCAGAGTTCGATAATTAAAGAGACTAATTCGTTTGTCCGCTTGTCAACGCCATGTTTCCTGTCACTTGTCTCCGTGTTTTACGGCGTACGTGCTCATGGTTAAACCCGTTTACGAGCGTCTCTGTGAAAACGGTTGCAACACGTCGTTGCATTCGTTAATTCTAAATAAAACTACTAAATAAGACTCGTCGAGCGAGAAGCACGATTAGTGGAAAATGTCGCGACGAATGATCCAGTATTCGCTAGACTGCGAAAAGAAAGGGGTGGATCACGAGTGAAGACCAGAGAGACAAACCAAAACTTACGATTTATTCAATTCTCTTTTTATTTTAATCAAAACCTTTGATCTCACGAAGCCTCCCTTTGCGTTGGAATTTTATTCGATAGAAACAAAAAATAGTTTTCATTTTCTTCATTTTTAAATTAATTTTTGCTACCTCTGATAAGGAGCTGCGAAAAGAAAGGGTGAATGACGAGTAAAGATCAGAGAGACAAACCAAAACTTACGATTTATTCAATTCTCTTTTTATTTTAATCAAAACCTTTGATCTCACGAAGCCTCCCATTGTGTTGGAATTTTATTCGATAGAAGCAGAAAATAATTTTTATTTTCTTCATTTTTAAATTAATTTTTGCTACCTCCGATAGGAGCTTTACTTCACTGTCTCACTGTGAATAGATACCATAAGTTGCCATGAAAAAAGTAGCTAACTTCCAACGGTATAAAATACAGGAAAAATTCGTAATGTCAGACAATGTTAAACTAAAACGCTTTAATCATTGATATACTTAAATAAAACGAGTCACCGCAAATACTTCTAACAAATATGGTTGTCCTTCCACTGATGGGGCAGACAACAATAGCACCGCAAAGCGATCAAAACGAACGACACAAAGTGAATAACACAAAATGAATGACGTCTTACTGTCTTCGTAAAGTCGCAGTCTCGTCGTCCCACAGAACCTTCGACCAATCTTCCTGTTTAACTTTCCTCATCTTCAGTCAGCTCTTCGTCTCTGAATTACGTTATTAAATACAATCAACTGGAACAATAAGTCATTTGACGTATCGTGTCTTCCACTGGAGAACACGGAGAGCAGGGAAAATATTTATACCGTACAATTTACTACATAATAACGATATTAACCCTCTGCACTCGAGAGACGACCCTCAGTCGCCATTAGATAAAATTTCGAAGATCGATATTAATTAATATGTCAAATTTAAGATAATGCAACGATGTACGAGCTATCGAAATCGAATAATTGTACGTGTTAATTATTATACGATTTCTTATTTACTGCTGAAAGAAATATCGTCAGTTTTATAACAGAAAATCTTTGAACTCCTACTGATCTTCGGTCAAAAAATCGTCGAGTGCAAAGGGTTAAACGAACAGAATCGCAAACACAGGTAAATCCACGCATACCGACGATGCTCTCATCGTCAACGAATAATTTCAATTTTATTATCACAAGCGTTACAATACAAAACTCTAAATCTACGATCTCGTGGAAGCCTTAAATCTAGATATCGAGCAATACAAACCACCATTTAGTACGCTGAAACCCGGGCCAAAAGATGGAGGATGCTCTGAAAATTCGAAATTCCACGGGATATTCGAGCGACGAAGGAATCCGAAGCTCGTCGCGGGGAAGAAAGAAAATAAAGAAATCGATGAGAGGAAAGGAAGGAAAAGGGAAAGAAAAATGCAGGCGCAACGTGGAACGTTAAATGATGCAGAAATTTGAATAAACCGATCGGAGGGCGTCGCGACGATGGTCGTCGCGGCTGGAAATCGTGACAAACGTCGTGGCGAAGCGGCGCCGTAAAAATAATGAAGATCGAGCGTCGCTGGTCGTAGTTTATTATGAAAACCGCACGATGTGCCGAAGGAGTTAAGGGCTTGGCCTAAACTTACGGCTCGGCTCGGTACACTTGCGCCGAGGTCTTTGCACCGTGAAGTTTGCTTTATAAATATCGCCGGTGCAACGGAGTGTCCAGAGAAACGAACCGTGTCTTGGATGAAATGAACGGTCTAAGCCGCTCTTTGCTTCAATTGCAACGAATCCGTACGCGTTTTCAATCCGCCTGCTATCATTTCCCCCTTGCCTGTCCTCCCCATTCCGTTCTAAGTCACCATCGAATCGTTTGTGCTTTGTCATTTATAGATAGACACGACGAAAAATTTTTAGTAGCAGAAATTTAGAAATTTAGAAATTTAGAAATTTAAAAACTTAAAAATTTAGAAATTTTCCTTTTCTTCTTTCTTTTTTTTTTTCTTTTTTTTTTCTTAAATGTAACGTATCATAGAGCACTGTAATTTTTTAAATTAAATCCCTCTACCTTAAATTAGAGAGAAAAATATTGTAAAGTGTCCATACTTCAAAATTATATCGTACTTTATATTTTTATTCATCGAGTGGGAATTTATTTGTGAAAAAAGTGGTAAGAAATAAAAATGGAAACGGGGTTTTGGAGGAATACCAGAGAAGATGGAATCGGCTGTGAAATATTCGGAAGAAATAGTAGGCCAGAAGAAATAAACGAATTTATAATTACAATAAAAATAAACGAATCCAGGGAACAGGTAAAAGAAAGAAAACATCGTTCGCGATAGATTAATATAATTAATCCTTATACTCTAATCATTTTTCCACGCTCTACTAAAAAGCACGTTAAGCTCCTGAATTGTAATAACAAAACGAAAAGAAACGAAGACTCAAACATTCTCGCAGAAAAATAAAATCCGACCACCAGCATCTCGCGATACCCACGCATACACACGCAAAACCACGTAAGAAGAACCGTGTCCTTTATTGCAAAAATATTCACAATTCGTCGGAGAGAGGTTACAATGGAAATATCATGACCTCACTTCCGGATAACAATAATATTAATATTAATATTAATTTAACCTCACTTTGTACGCGAAATTTCTGCAAATTTCTATGTACAATTCAATGCCCGTATAAATAACGCGATTACTCGAATCGAGGATTCGAATTATGATACAATTCTACGCTTAACGTCTAGCTTTAATAATTATCGTGGAGGTTTGGTAAAAATTTTCGCGTGGCACTAATGAGATTTCAACGATCGAACGTAATTGTCTTCGCTTACCGTGACAGACGGATGAAAAAGCGCGCGCAATGCAAATCGCGCGTTTCCCCCGACAAAACGTTCACGGTGCAATTATTTCGCATGGTCGGTTATTTCTTTGTAACGTTGCTGGGTCTTTCGCCATAACGCCTGCTTCTTTTCCGTCGTAGAATCTAGCTCGATTGTAGGAAATTCGCTCGTTGCCCCGAGACCGGTTTTGCTCGGATTATTCGTCAAAGATACCTGCAAGCAGAGCATAAATGAATACGAGATAAGCAGATTTTTCTTCCCACGTAATGTTTCACTCGCTTTACATAAATGCCTTCCTATTTTTCTCCCAATTTTTTCCTTCCTTTTCGTTGCTTATCCCATCGTTTAATTATAGCAAACGCGCATGTTACAATTAGAGATGCTTTAAAGTCGCGTGGGGTATAATGTTACGTTTCGCTCTTTCCTTTTCCTACTTTTCTTTCTCTCTCCTTACTTTTATCTTATTTATCCACCTTCCTCCTCTTCTCGCGCGTAATGGATGTACGGACAGGTTCCGGCGCGAAAGATAACGAAATATAGTCGATGTGTTCATTGAAAAATGTTTGAAAAGGTGTAAAATATTCGAGGTACGCTTTACGCGGATTCGCGAGATTGCAAATTTCGCGATCTTCTCGGAATTGTATTTTTTATGAAAACAATGGGTGTTTCGGGAAGAAAATGTTGGGAACTTTTTATAGGAGAGAGTTCGCAGAAGAGAGAATTTTATCGCGATATATCATAAATATTACGAAACTCGCACTTTCATTTTCAAGTATCTTTAGGATTCTGGAAACGCGATTGTTTCGTTAAAGTATCTCTTAACACGCGTAAGATTATATAAAGTTACATGTTAAACAAGGTACATCCGCGAGAACCATTACGATTCCTCTTTACGCGCGAATTCGTGATAATAAAAGTCGCTGAATCTTCTCAGATTTTAGAAAGACGATGTTAGAAAAATAAAGACGCCGATATTTCTTATCTCAGACGCAGATATTTTATCGTAAGCTGTTGCTTTGCAATATTCCGACTCTTTTTCTCAAAAATTGTAACTTCGAGGTCCGAGAAAAATGACTCTTCCGTTAAAATACCTTTTCTGGTAAAATTAGGCTATACGTGAATAAATGTCACCAAAATTCGCTTCGATTTTATGCTACATTCGAAGAGATCGCATCAAAGTCGAATCTTGTCAATTTTATTAATTTTCCAGGAAAAAAGAAAATATTCCATTATCTTCGATTTCTTTTTCTAGAATCAATGAGTTTTTCTCGCACTATAACTCAATTTTCGGTTCCATAATGCTGCGAGTGTTGTATTTAATCGTTAAAATAATTTATTGTTATTTAAAAAATTTCAAAAAATTGACAAGGGTTATTTCCTACGAGAACTCTTCAATTTCTCCATGTTCCTCGCGCATTTTTCAACCGGAAAGAAACACGAGGCCATCTTGCTCTCTGAACCACGGTCTCTGGCCAAATCACGGGGGTCCATTCCACATACGAACAAGCGACGTTCGTTAGTTAGTCCGCCTAATTAATTGCGCCGTGTGCTATGCTGAATTCTCGTCGTCGAAATGAAGACGAAGAAGGGAAAAGGAAGGAGATCGGGGCGGGAAGAGGCGAGAGATTATTCGGCGGCGGGTCTTATCGGGGAAGGGTTATTTTAAGTTTCGAGTCGCAACCACTGGGCAGAATACCCTCTCTCGACGCGTATTTGGGGCAAGTGGCCTACCCCGTCTGGCTTGTAAATGAGGCCCTATCTAGCTTCGTCGACACTTGACTTACTTGGTTGAAAGGAAAAGAGACGAAAATGAAAGAATGAAAAGAGCGTAAAAAGGAAATACGAGGAAAGGACTCTGGCCGGGAACACGAAAACAACGTCCGATCTGGCTGAAGATAAAAATATCTGAGAGCAGCGCCGCCCAGCGAGAGGCGAAATGATGATAAAATTGACGAATAAAATGGGCGGAGTGCGACGAAAATTTGTCACGCGAAATGGAACATACGTAAGAAAGTGGAGAAAATTTTAAATAGAGAACGAGGGATTCAAAATTGATTATGGGGTATCGGTGTCTCGGATAAATTAATCTTACGGGGTAGATGTAACAACAATTTTCATATAATAATCGTGTTACTTATCTACTATATATACTATATATATATAAGAATTATTTAGATGAACGTATGATTAACCTTTGAGTCTCGGTCGCCATTTGCTTTTAATGCTTTAATGCTTTGGTAACTTGAATATCGAATAAGAGATGATAATTATATTAAGGACAGAAATATTACACGCGAAATGTTAAAATAAAATAATTGATTTTCTTTTTTTTTCAAAATACAGGGTATCAGCAAGCTTATAAAATCTAAAAATAAAAGGGAAGCTTCGAATTGCTGTTTCTTTACAACGAAAAATTCTTCGAGTGCGAAGGGTTAATCTAATAATAATTTTTGAATATTAATTATATTTACAATTCAATTTATGTTTGCATGGCGACTATACAGTTAGATAAACAAAGAATGGTAGTTAGTTAATAATAATTCCTATAGTATAATTGTATTACCTGTAATTTCTACCTGCACGATGATTTTTAAAAAAGAGATCAACGTAATAATCGTTCAAGTATAATTACACTATTCATAGTACTTATTTCACTTATTCCGCGATTATTCGACGAGGTAAATAAGGGATTAACGTAACGACAGGCCCCGTGTGATTATGTTATTTATAATTTCTATTTGCATAACGATGATTTAAGTAGACGAAAGATTAATGACTAAAAGTCACGAAATACGAAGGTCTATAATGATGGGAATTGAATTTGCCGCGTTAAATGTCAACCACTAGGAATTATAAGGAATCTCAGTGGTTCTACAGAAAGCCAAGCGCCTCGGAAAATCTCGAGATGCATTTCATAAGGTTTTCTTTGCCCACTTGCTGTATCTTAAAAGAACCTCGTTTATAAGTTTGAAGCGGCTGCAAAATGCAATACAGGCGAATGGTTTTCAGGCTTTAACGGAGCCGAGTGTTCTTACTTTCGCCTACGTGGAATTCACCAAGCCGCAGAAATAACTCGTTAAGGAAACGGTAAACTAAGGAATGACGAAATATAATAATTAACACGGTTTTCATATAAATATTAGGTCGCTGCATTGACTTTTACCAGTTTCTTGCCGCAAAAATACCGTTTTAATTGCCGGCAAATTTTTCTAACGTATCGTACTGAATTAATTCTCAATCGGTGCAAAATTCCTCCATCTCCAGCTCGAAAGCAGTCCTCCAGGCTTGGCAACGTAACCTGCCGAACAGTGCAAAAATAACTATACCCCTCCGACATCTTACGTAAACGCGCCGGATAAAGGTTCCGACGAATTTTCCGAAATCCTTTAACCGTTCCCCAAATATTATTTTTCTCCGCTTATTCCAAACATCACCCCTTTCCAATTTTCTACGTCATAGATCACCCTAATTTTAATTTTAAATCACTCCTACCCCGCGAATTTTTGACAGTACCTAATTCGTATTAATTTAATTCGGATACATTTTCCCAAACTATTAAATAAATAAATAAATAAATAAATTTAAAAACTACTTATTAATATAATATCAGAAGATGGAAGTTGAAACAGGATGTCAATAACATAACCATGTGTTTATAGCGATTAATATAGATTTCGTATCCACGAAGACCCACCATATTTACAATATGGCATATAGTTAGTTTCAAGGGTTGCCAACACGCTGTGTCTCTCTAAGGCGCGAAGTATGAATCGAATATACGAATATATTTCAACGCTACTAAATAAATAAATAAATTTCCCAAAATACTAAATAAATTCAATCCTCTGAATCATAGATCACGTTATACCTACATCGCACACATAATACAGGTTCCTCGAAATATCCAATTCATATATGCCAATAAACTGCTAAAAATACCACCCCATTCCAATCTTCTAAATCATGGATCATGCTATTCCTACGTCACACGTGCATACAAATTGCTAAAAATAACCCAATCTATATTTTCCCGGAATATTAAAGATACCACCCCATTACCACCCCCTAAATCACTGATGATGCTGTTTGTTCCTAATTTATCTACCCATACAGGTTCCCAAAAATATCTAATTTTTGCTATTTTTGAAGAACCCTTCTCAAGCCATCCCGCAAGTCATGCAACCCATATATTTATTCGTCAGCCAAGGAAATCCGTCATGAAAATTCTCCGTTCGCGTCTCTCTCGCGATCTTCGGGACCGTGGAGAAATTCGCGAAAAGGAGGCAGAGGGAGGGCCGCGAAAGACGAGAACGGATCATGATCGAGCGACAGACGCGTTATCGTGCGCGTAAAATGAGCGCTCGTTACTCGATTGACGAGCTCGCGAGACGTTCAGGAGCAAAACGGCTCGACTCGAGTTTCGCTTTCTCGCTCGACGATGATGGCGATGATGCATCCGTCTGGCCTGTCTAGACCACTTATATATATTATAACTGGCGCTCGCTCGTCCGTTCTCTCCTCTCGCTGCTCGCAAAAGACGAACACCACGACCTTTTTCCACTTCGTCTCTATCTCTTTTTCTTCCTGCTCCGTCGTCTCCGATGGAACTTCGCCTATGTAGGTGTATACGCGCCTATACACACGGATGCATTTTACCTGATTTATGTCACGAAGATGATTAATCTCCCGGCCGAAATGTTATCTCGGAACGGAATTAGTTTTTCTGTTGGCTCATCGTTGAGTCATCGCCTGGTGAATTTTTAACCGTTACCTAACGTTCACGTAACGCGTCGCGTGCCTTTTATTACCCCTGATAGAGGCGGTCCTCGAGGTGAGCCGAGTTCCCTCGTCTCCTCGTCGCTGCCAAGCTTTCCCAATTTTCTCTATAATTCCCAATTTCTAACATAATCGCGGTGCCCACGTGTTACGCGTATTTGTCGCACAAACATCGCGAGGATCAGGGTTTAACGAGGTGTTTGTTCTTGGGATGAATAGGCGTGGCGAGCCTTAATTAACGCTAAACTCAACACGACCGGTTAAGTGATCAGTATATGGGAAGACGAAGGAAGAAGAAGCTCAGGGAAAATGGGACAGATAGGAAGAGATATTGAAAAATTGATCACATCTCGAATCGGAAGATCAAGAATGAACATTTCAGCTATGGTGGGCTATGGCTACACTGTTGATGGATATACTCAGTACCGTATTGACAT